TGTATCATTCAATGCCCCTTTTCTCTCAACTTTATGTTTATATTGTAACGTTACTGCTTGTTATTTTTATCATTAATTTGACAAATGGAAAAAAAAAATGGCTCTGAATATTTTTTATCAAAGTTAAATAACAGTTATCTCAGACTTATTAGTTTACTTAAGAAATGATAAATTAATTAAAATTTGGAAGATTTAGACGCATAACACTAAATTCCTATATATTTGCATATCTAACACATAAATATCAAATTTTACGTGCATGACACACCTTATCTATGCATGAAAAAATGTACTTCGCTTCTGTATAAGTTAAAATATGATATTTTTTTATGTGATATTAATGGTATATAATGGATTATCGTTTTAGCGTTGCAGGATGATTCAACACGCACCAGATGAAAAGAAATCAACAGAGTGATGGATTATCGTTTTAACGTTGCACGATGATTCAACACGCACCAGATGAAAAGAAATCAACATGTGATGACACCAGAAGTTTTTACATGAAAAACCCGTAAAGGGAAAAAATCACTGGGTTTGGCCCTGTTAAGAAAATTCACTATAAGTTGATGATTATAGAGACACTTTGTCATACAAACTGAAAAGGTTTATAGATTTTATAAGATATAATGTCGACTGACGGCTCTGGTTAGCGGTGGTCAATGACAGTTGATGACGGTGGGCGGTAATCGCCGAAGGTCAGCGGTGATCGGTGGTGGTCGACAGCGGACTGCGGTGGCAGGGATGATGTTGGACTTAAGCTCCTTCTCAAAGTCTCGAGTTATCTCTCAAGCCTTTTTTCCTCATGTGAGAGGTGGGGCTCTATTTATAGGTCAGCGGTGTAATTCAATTTTTACTCATGAGATGATTAGATTACTATCTAAAAGATGACTATTCTTCACTAGGGCTGTAAACCAGCCGAGCTTGTGCGAGCTCAGACTTGGCTCTTGTTCGGCTCATTCGAAATTGTTCGTGTTCGAAATCGACTCGTGTTCGAAAATGGCTCGTAACAGTTTGTTCGTGTTCGGCTCGATTTAAATATTCGTGTTCGTGTTCAGCTTGAAATTCGCTCGTTAAAATTAAACTGAAAAAATAGATATAGAGTGTTGGATTCAAACCTAAATCAAATATATGCAAAACAAGGTGCATAACCACATTACCATAAGAGCAGTCACGATTTAAAAAAAAAAATATTACCACAAGAGCAATTGTGATTTAAACTTATATATAAATATATATAATATATTATTATATATTATTATATAAATAATATGTGTAATATATTTTAATATAAATAATTATATACTTTTTTTTTCTAGCTAAAACGAGCCGAACTCGAGCGAACAAAGAGCAGTTCGTGTTCGGCTCGTTTATAATTCGAGCTTTAAAAACTTGTTCGTGTTCGGCTCGTTTATTTATCGAACGAGCCGAACACGAGCTGCTTAACAAGCCGAACTCGAGCTGTTCGCGAACAACGAGCTTTTTTAACAGCCCTATTCTTCACAATGGAAATTACAAGATATTTAAGGGCTATTTGGTTATAAGTATTAAAAATGCATGCAATTTTATAATACTGTATAAGTTTATTATGTTTTAATATTTAAAAATTACTTGGTCGGGTATGAAATAATTTGATAAAATTAACCTTTTTGTTAGTTCAAGATTGGGTATAAAATAAATTTATAAATTCATACAGCGTGAAAACAACGATACGAACAATAATAATTTGATTTCATCGGACTCATTTGCTCTTAAGATTTATCATAAATTATAGTTCCTTATATTATAGTTTTTCTATAAAAATATTCAAAATTTAATTATTTCAAATTAAATATTTTAAAAAAATATTACTTTTATGTCCTCTTCCTAATGAAGTACCGAAGTAGTCGCTTAAAAATTTAATTTTGAGTTGAATAAAATATAAAAATTAATTTTTTTTTAATATATATTTTACAAGTGTACATAAAAAATTTGTCAGCATGAATCGCGATGACATCTCACGAGTAACTGAAGAGATGAGGTGATTTCTTGGGGCCTACCAAGGGCGATCTGGGGTTACATGATCGACCGACTAGTTTCGTCTTTGCATTGTGGAAAAGATGAGTTTGAGAAAGATAGGGGACGAATTACCTCTAAAAAGAATTCAACCGATTAAATATATCCCGTCGAGCTCGTAAATGGTCACCCGACCTAGCGGCCACTCGACTCCGTAGAACCTCTTACCTGTCACTATAATTACCAGAGTATCATGTTGGATTTTTGTATAATGTTAAGACGGTGATTAACCACTGTATCACTACGAATCTTCGAACACGCACTTGGTGAAATAAACTTTTTCATGCAAATTTTATAATACAAGCTTTATAAGTGTTAATATCAAACTTTAGGCGTTAGATAAGTGAAAAAAACAAGAATTGTGTTATATGTGTAAATCTCTCTAATCTTGAACATCCTTGTTGTTTTCATTCTCTGACAAAAATTGGGAAATTATCTATATAGCACTCAGAGCATTGATATTTACAAATCTAGCACCCTCTTTCATCCAAATTTTGAAATTATTACTCTAATATTAATATTCATGATAAAATCTCAACTCTCATACAAGTTTTATAAATAGCATTATTTTGAGTACATTATAGTTAATTATCCCAAGAGATTGTCACAGCTAACTCTTACAGATTAAACATCTTAACCATTGTTGTCAAGAGAGTTGGATCTGGATTTGTTAATGCTAAACCTTGAACCAAGGGGCGTTGAAACAGGAGGGGGGCAGCTCTAGAGCCATAATTTCCCCTATAAAATTATGGTATATTTATCTTTTATATTGTCATGCCATCATCTTATCTTTGTATTTTAACATATTTTGTCTAAGATAAAGACAACAAGGGCCATATTTTCCTCCAGAAAAGTTCGTCCTGAAAACCTTATCTGTATTACTTACTGACTTATTTAGTATTATATGACGTCAGAGCTTGAGATTATATGATTGATAATTGCAATGCCAGCGCATTGGATTGGTTTTGAGAAGAAAATTTTATTCTACATGCATATCATTTAATATATATATATATATATATATATATACATCTAGTATTTAAAATTAATTTTGAAATATTTATTAATTATGTATGAAAAGATGAATTTCACTTTGTTTTATATAAAATAATGATATTTTTTGTGACATAAAAAGATATAAAGAATATAAATGTAAAAAATGAAATTTAGATATTAGATAAACTTATACATAGAGATTAAGTGATGTGCGTTTCGAGGCTTGTTGTTGGTCTGTTGTTAGAGAAGTCTCTATGAATGTCGTAAATCCCCTCATGTCACGGGTTTCAGAAAGCTAGTTTTATGGTTTTTATAGATTTATGGCACTTAATCTCTATTTCTTTAAAATTATTTTTTATATATTTATTTTTTAAAAAAGAAATAGCCGGAGGCTATTAGATGATGTGTGCTAAATATTCGAGTAACGCAGTGTTCTTATTAGAATGTGTTTGAAATACCTTATAATTGTTTGTTGTTATTCAAATTCGATCAAAACGATCAAATTCTAAATTCAACCAAAAATGAATCTAGGAGTGAACTTTAAATTCATAAAAACTTCACATTATACTTGCACTAGTTCATACCAAACATATAATTTTTCAAATTCATATACATGAATTACAGTACATCACAACCAAACAGGCCCTAAAGCATCCGAACAAATTTCGAAGGATTGAAAGATAGTCTAGGCTCAAGTAAATTAGTATTAGTATGCCTATAATGAACGAAATCTAGAATTAATTCATGATATTGTTCACCAATTTGAAAATTTCTAAGCTAAATGGGTGAAGTAGAATCAAACTATTTTATGACTTGTTTTGAGATATTAGAAGCTACCAACTGGCTGAAAGGTTTGATGTGCTCAAATATGGAGGGGCAGCTTAGGATTATGTTTTCTGATTTGAAACAAAATATATTTGTTATGTTTGATTAAGATATGTTTGTCTTTGAAAACACTAAAAACACCTAAATATTGTATTGACTGTTTCAAAAATATGTTAAATTATTTTTAAAAACAAAAATATAAATATGTAAAAAAAAACATACCAAACACATATGTATTTGCAAAGAAAATAAAAAAATAAACCTAAAAACAAAAAACAAAATTGATCCCAACCAAGCCCGCATCATATTGGTTGAAGATGAAGTAAAAAATCTCAAAATATTGGGTTCAAATGTTGCCCCAACCTGAAATAAAAAAGGTCTTAGGTTCGATCATTGCCTGCACAATAATAAGCTCCTATTTTTTTGCAGATGGTGGGTTCAAAGTCTTCTATATGTGTTGTAAGCGACTGAGTTTGCAATTAAAAAGTTAATTCAAAGTCACAAAATAGCTATTATTTGCAAAATCATAATTTACTTTTAAGAAAACATCCAGTATATGCAAAGAATCAACGAATAAAGAGAACAACTTTACATCCTTATCAATTAAGAGAAGAAGCAGTATATGGCAGGAATAATGCAGGCATCAAAGAGAATCACAATGGATATTTCCATAAAATCCTTACTTTATTTGGGTTGCACGACCTAAAATTGAATTTTTTTTGTTTCAAAAACAGGGTTTTCATTATTCTTACGCTGAAAGTCTACTCCTTTTTTAAAAGGAAACCAGCATATAGTTATAGGTCAATTTTCATTACAATTCTGCAACAAAACATTACATTGGTAACCAAAAATTCAAAGTCATGCATATAATTCGGTAATCCCATGACAATAATGAAAGTTTCTATTTTTTAACAAGTAATTGCGGGAAGAAATTAAAGTTTCTCGAATCAACCTCGGCAACATGTTTAAGGAGAAAAAGAAATCATGGAGGTTTCCTATTCAGAATTTCACAACAAAATTAAGGAGAAATGCAACAAACCACCAATAGAACAACAAAATTGAACTGATGCAAAAAAAGATTTACAGAAAAATCATCTTTCACAATTCTATGAATCCTAAAACAAGAAATTCATCTTCAACCTTGATCAAATAATACAAGTTTTATGTAAATTGACTTCCTTGTACATCAGTGATCACTCAGAATAGATCAAGTACAGATTTTTAGTAAACAGATCAAATAAAAGATTCGGAATCCAGAAGCGAAAAATATTTCTCACCGCATCTCAGTTGCCTTTCTCATCATCGTCGTCTTCCTGACGGATTTGTAAGTATGTAACAGAGAGTTGACCCCATAGCCAGTCTTAAGCTCCGGTCTAGACGACGATGAACAGTCGATTAATCCGTTCAGTCAGTCGTACTTCTCTCTCCATGAATAAACGAGGAAAAACAACCAGGATAGACTGAGAACAACGTCGCCAACTAGCTGGCGAGGCCAGTCGCGGGCGAGATCCTCCAGGTGCCTCTCAAAGCTGATGCGCCAAAGGGCCATGAAAACATGGAGAAGGATGCAGCCTTTAGCGAAGAAAGTCTGAAAGTCGCGGTCCTTGACGAAGGAAACCATGAAGAGGAGGAATCCTATGGCAAACAATAGCAATCCCGCGAAGGAGTCCGAGATCTGGATCAGGAGCTGATCGTGAGGCGTCGAGCCCTGCAGTTTCCTTGCAGTCTCCGGCCCGTGACCAAACACAGAGATTTCGTTCAGGTAGAACATCATCAGTGCTCCGCACGTCGTCGCTACCGCCGAATGAAGCAAGCAGATGGCGAAGAAAGCCGATGATGGAGGCGATTGCGTCGAGGATGGTGGCGCCATGGAATATTGAGCTGAAATTCTACGGTAGGGTGAGCGGAGCCGTAACCCTAACCCTGTTGGCGAGCCCAAGCATGAGAGGGAGAGGACGTAGAAGGAGGACGACGCAACCCGGTAGAAGGCGAATCGAAGGCAGAGAAGTGGGAGCTGATCGTGAGGCGTCGAGCCCTGCAGTTTCCTTGCAGTCTCCGGCCCGTGACCAAACACAGAGATTTCGTTCAGGTAGAACATCATCAGTGCTCCGCACGTCGTCGCTACCGCCGAATGAAGCAAGCAGATGGCGAAGAAAGCCGATGATGGAGGCGATTGCGTCGAGGATGGTGGCGCCATGGAATATTGAGCTGAAATTCTACGGTAGGGTGAGCGGAGCCGTAACCCTAACCCTAGGGCCGTGGAGGATAAGAGGGACTGGGTGTCTCGAGAGCATTTGGACCCGGAAAGGGCGAGTACTGTGCAGGGAATTCGATGTAGCGATTTGCTGCGCGATCGTCGTCTTCTTCGCAGTAATCGAGACAGAGAGGATGATGGGTCCGGGGAAAATCATGCAGGGAAAATATTAACTGGAAAAATAGAGGATTTGTTCATGTAAATGTATGCTGCGCGTGGAGTGCTGTAAAGTTTAGGGCTGATGGATTCGATTGATGTTTCATCAAATTTATTCAAATTAGTTAATTATGAGATAAACTATAAAAAATTTATGTAAATTATAAGATTTTATTTTTTTATTTAAAAATAAAATTTTAGTATATTTTATATTAATATTTTTTTTAAATAAAGCGGAGCTAATATATTCTCTTTATTCATTTATTTCAATGAATTAATTTTTAGTGTTAGGTTATGTTCTTTAATCTTAAAAAAAAATTTGTTTGTAATTTTTGTATTAACTTATTTAATTAATGTATTATTTTTAAATAATAAATTTGAATTTATCTATTTATATTTGTAAAAAGATTTATTAATAGCTTTATATAAAAAATTAAATATTCGTTCTAACTTTTAACTTGATTATTAACTCGTTTAAGTAATGGTTCTATTGATATATCAAGACAAGTATAAGACAAGTTCAAAGCTCGATTGAGCTTGAGCCGAACATGAACAACTTATAATTTAACCAATCCAATCTAAGGCATACTTAGCTCGAATCAGCTTGATTACAACCCTAAATGTTATATTGGAAAATTCATAAAACATGATAAGAATATATATTAAATTAAAATCATGACTATTCTACCTCCAATTTTAAAAAAATTGATGAAACAGACTCAAAGATAATAAATGTAGCATGATTTGAACCCAAATAAACCCAAGAAAATTAAATAAAATGTTGTTTGAAAATTTTTGAAAATTAATGAAGGGATTAGATCATTTCTAAATCAAACATCCTTACATTGAAATTGAATGCCTTAATAATAGAATTCCAACTTGCTAAAATATTATTAAGTTATGATCTGGTTTAGGAACTTATATAATCATAAATAATTTATAATAAAAAAATTCACTAAAAACTAAAATATCACCCTAAAATAACTAAAGAGATAGACCAAACTAAACCCAAATGACATCAAAATATCACTTGCTATTTTTAGTTAATTGATGAAACAATTCCAGTGGCATCAAAAGTAGTTTGAACTGAGCAAATGAGCCCAAATTAATTATATAAAAAGTGGATAGAAAATATTAAAAATTAATTGAAAAATTATATCTTTTTTGAACTATGCATGCTCTTATTCAAATTGAGTGTCTCAATAATACAAATCCAACTAGTCAAATCTCACTTAATTGTAATGTAATTAATGTACTTAAGGGACAATAAATAATTTATGATAGCATAAATCAATATAAAATGTTCAATAGAATGTTTTAGAACGTTAGTCAAAATGTTAGTCAACACACTAAAAGTAACACTATTAAAAACTATTATCTGATGATCGTCATTCGAATATCATCTTTCAATTATTATCATTCCCCTATCATATCTCAGTCATAATATTCAAAACATTATCGTCAACTTGTCAACTTATCAGCTATCTTCACTTGACTACCCTCACGCCATCACTCTCCCCATTTAAAATTTTTTTTTCCAAGCTATTATAATATCCTCAACCAAAGCGAGGAGAGACACAGAGTGAGAAAAAGAGGGCGAGGATAAAAAAAGATAGGTTTCAAACATCTTAACGGCTCTTTTATGAGATAGGTTCGTTAAAAAAGGGTTTAAACTTCAATATAAGCAACTTTTACTGTCTAATGGTTTTAAGTGTTGCATGATTTTTTTCTATTTTATATTAATAAAATTAGATATTTCAATATTTTAAGGATTTCTATTATGTAACTTTGAATATGTTATTATTATATTTATTATTCATATATTGGCATGATCATATTAATTTTTCTATTAAATATTTCTTATATTTGTTTATATTTATGTTGATTTTAATAGAACAAGTTAGTCCAAAAATTTTGATAAATCAATACCCATGATAATACTACCAAATAAAATGATATGCATACTACCTCTAATTGGTTTGTGCATGCATGATGATTTGAACACATTAATAAATCATATGAACCCTGCTATTTTTGTTTTGCACATTAAAAAGAATATAATGTACTAATTATACATATGATATGAAAATTTAATTATGAAATGTATAAATACAATTTAGGATGATTATTATGATTCATGTTTATAAACAAATAATATTTTGCATAAAAGAATAGCCAAATGGCTATCATGATTTTCTTCTTGAAAATTAGGTTTGGCATCAACTTGATATAACATGGGATAATAAGACATTCATATGATTTAGGATAAGTGTGATGTATTATACCACCAAAATTTTCTTATTTATATGACATGACATGATATTATGCGTAAATTATTATGATCAACTTAAGAAAAATGCCACAAGATATTTTATGATTAGTTAGATGCTTAACTGACATATTATTGTGGTAGTTGTTTACCTCAGTATTTGCTCCACTAATAAACTTTAACAAATATAATAAAATTAGCCGGCAATGAGTGTCATAGCCTACAATTTGAAAATAAGTTACCACTACGATTGTTAATATAGTCTAAACATCATTTGATCACAAAACAAATAGCTCCAATGATTTTGAAAAGAACAAAATATCTAGAATAGATGCTAATTATGCATGGGTACATGCATGAATGCTAAACACAATGTTTACATATGCACGAGGCTGATGGCACGTAATTTTGTATCACTAAAAAAAAAAAAACCACATGATATTGTATGATTAATCACACTTAATTAGCATGTTATATGTTTGATAAGAAATACCTCTTATATACATATACTTCTTTCGAAAAAAATATAAGTACTCGTATAGGTATTTTTTTTTTAATGCATTTTTCTTATTACTATTATTATGATTATTAGTATTTATAGTTTGTTCCCTCCATTTATTGAATATAATTATGACTTGTGTAGCATATTTAAATTTTTGCTCATCTTATTATATTTATATATTTTTAGGAAATGGTCACACTCAAGTAGAGTTAGATTGTAGTTCCTACTCATATATGCATTCCTTAACTTTTCATAGGTTTTATTATTGTTATTATGGAACAATTATATTTTAATAGATTATTATGGGACATTTATAGTTTAATAAATGCGTTAGAGTATCATGGTTATTATAAATTTGGATTTTGAATTTAAAAAATCTTAGTATGTATGTGTTTTTGTGTGTGTGCTTGATAAACCTTCAATCAATCTAATATGATTTATTGTAAAATCGGGGTTATATCACGTTGAGTTGTGATAAAGAAGTTGCAAAGGAAAAAAAAAAAAAAAAAGATGTTATTATTGTCATATCACGGGTCAGAAAGAAAGTGCAGCTTCACAATGTAAGGCATGATGAAAAAAATTGAACAAATTTAATATTCTCAAAAGAAAAAGGACACGCAAGTAATATTAGAAAAGAAATAAGAAAAACTTAATTTTATTCCATAAGTCTAATTGATATAACTAAAAGAAAAGGAAGATTTTGACTGCACAAAACTGAATTGACAATAGAAGGAACAACTACCCAAATCCTAAAAAAGATACAATAACTAAATTAAATACTAAAAAAAAAAACGAAATTTAAAATTGAAAAGTCTACTTCGATGAAGATGATCATGTTAGTGGTTGAATAGAACATTTTATGCAAAAAAATCAATGAGTGAGTTTGGCAAGCAAACTTAATAAACATTTGTTTAAAAGCATAAATGAGATAAAAAAAGAGGCATCTACTATGAACAACAAAGAGGTATAATTATGTATTTATAACAATTGTTTATATATACATGTGATTACTTTCAATCCAATAAAAACATACTAGTGCATAACTTAGCAGTTTATTCAATTTTAATTTAGTTTAAATTTATATGGTCGATTTTAACTGACGTCTTGAAACCGAAAAGGTCAAAATTAACCCAAGAAAACCTATTAATTTTCTGTAAAGTTGTAACTTTATAGGGCATTCAACCTGTCTTGTCATTATCCAAAAAGGTTTCACTAACTTACACATCATCACACACGCACATACCAAAATTTTCATAGGTGTAATGTGTAAGAAATATGCTAGTTCACACATAATTTTGATATGATAAGAATTTACATGCAATTTCATAAAGGCAAAATCCCAAAAAATATATTTTAATTGCAAGATTTAATTAAATATGTATGAAGTTTTGCAAACATAAGATAAAATAGCTAATTACTTCATTATGAGCAAAACTAAAATCTATCACAAGTGTAAAAAAAATTGAAGTTGTAATGGCATGACTTACAATCAAATGAAGTAACTAAAAATATACTACAAATTATAAAGATTAACGCCTCTAACTAAGAAAGGTATGTCTATCTCCCAGTAAAAATAGCTACCTACCTTGAGACGGAACTAACACTCTAGATATGTTGGTGATTCAACCAATGTTGATTAGCAATTCCTATACAAATCAAAATCCATAACTGTTATCAATGACACAATCATATAAATTAAAACTAATTATTTACTAAGTTTGGTGCAACTTCAATGACATTTAATAATAATAATAATAATAATATTATTATTATTATTAAAATAAAACATATGAGTTGATTTGAAATCCACTTATTATAATCTAAGAAAATAGCCAAGTGATTATAGTAATATATCTATTTGGTTAAACATTCATTAATAATATTATTAACAGAATGAGTAGAAGCAATAAGGAGTGAAAAGCTTATCATATGCCTCGACTATGGTTAAGGAAAAAGAGTCAACAATATAGATGACTCTAAAGAGGTTGTCTTCAGGGAAGGACAAGAAAAGGGGATTACGGTTTGAAGGAATGGGAGAACGAAGTTTTGGTGGTTATTATACTCCATGATCTTGCATTGTCTTTCCAGCTAGCTCTAATTGTGACTGTATTACAAGTGTTAGAATCAGAAAGGAGATGGGTTTGAGCTAAAGGAGGAGAAAAGTGTGAGTACGAATGCCCTATGCTTCAACTTCAATCCTTTTTAAGTAGCCGAAATAAGCAGTGCAATGAAGAAAAAAAGGAAAAGAATCGTAGAAGTCCTAATTGGGAAGGTGGAAATAACAAGGACATAAAGGTAAGA